TTTCGAAGTGGGTTAAGGTAGTAGTGGTATGTGTTATGGGATGTGGAACCTGGGTCTTCCACCAGGATTTCAGCTGGAGGTAAGAGTAGTATGCTATGTTCGGCAGTGTATAAGCGACTTTTAAATGGTCGAATGAGGCCAATTCTCCTTTCTCTAATAGGGAGTATATGTAAAACACCACACATCTGTTCCATATTCTGAAGTTGAAATCAGGTATTTTATGCGTCAGGGTTTTAATTGGGGTTGATAGGGGGGTTGGGTGGCAGCTGCACAGGAGTTTGCGGGTGTCATCCCAGATTTTTAGTGTCGTCAAGGTAGCGGGGAGTGCCTTTGTGATGTTTGCCCTTAAGTGGGGTAGCGTCCATAATGTTGTTTGTATATCCTGTGATTGCAGAGAGTGTTGTTCTATGGGGACCCACTGGGGAGGGGGCTTGCTTTGATGGATGGGGAAGAGGCTGGCCAATACCGCAGCTTTATGGTAAAGTTTCACATTAGGGAGGCTCATGCCACCCATCTGCACTGGTCGGTTTAATGTAGATAAGGCAACTCTCGGACGTTTCCCCTGCCATATGAATAAGTTAATTTGTTTCTGAAGAGATAGAAAGTAAGTGGACGGTATTGTCAGTGTGAGTGTTCTAAATAGATATTGTAATTTGGGTAGTATTACCATCTTTACCGCTGCTATTCGTCCTGACCAGGATATAAATTTATTCCGCCAGTGCAGGAGGGTATTAGTAATATCTTTGCTGAGTTTAACATAATTTAAATGGTACAAGTTGGATATGGTGTGCGGAAGTTTAATGCCCAGATATGTGAGGTGGTCTCTCCTCCAATCATATGAGAACTGGCTTCTCAGGGTGGATAGATAGTCATCCTCCATTCCCACCCCCATGGCCTGTGTTTTAGATAGGTTCAGCTTATAATAAGAGCAATGGCTGTATTGTTGTAGTAAGTCGCGAAATGCTGGTAAAGATTTGTGTGGGTTTGTTAGGGTTAGAAGGATATCGTCAGCGAAAAGGTTTAGTTTGTATTCCGACCCACCTATTTTGATTCCCGTTATCTCTGGTGATGAGCGTATGGATTCGGCTAGTGGTTCTAAAGCTAGAATGTATAGGAGGGGTGAGAGAGGGCATCCCTGGCGGGTGCCGTTAGTGATGGGAAAAGGCCGTGATTGGAATCCAGACGTGAAGACCCGGGCCTCAGGGTTGCTGTATAATGATTTGATCATGGAAATAAAATGTGATGGGAAGCCAAATTTGACCAGGACCGCCTGCAGGAACGACCAGTGCAGGCGGTCAAAGGCTTTCTCAGCATCTAAGGACAAAAGGAGGCTGTTGGGGAAGCGTCTGTGCATTGTGTGTAGTAACGCGAGTGCTTTCCGCGTGCCGTCAGCTCCCTGCCTGCTTCGTACAAAGCCAACTTGGTCAGAGTGTACTATGGTCGGCAGTATGGATGTCATTCTATTGGCATAGACTTTGGCCAGGATCTTCACGTCCGAATTCAATAGGGAGATCGGTCTGAAATTTGCGCATTGGGTTGGTGATTTGCCGGGTTTGGGTAGGGTGGCCACGTTGGCCGTGAGCATATCTGGCGGTATGTTTTCTTGTGTTGTGGTAAAAGTGAAGAGTGACGTTAGCCGGGGGGCGAGTATGGAGGAGAACTTCTTGTAATATGTGTTTGGCAGCCCGTCTGGGCCTGGGGTTTTATTTAACGGCAGATTCTGTATAACCTTAAGTACCTCTGTTTGTGAGATGGGTTCAGCCAGGAACTCCTGTTGGGACGCTGAGAGTGTAGGTAGGCGGATTTTGTCTAGGAAAGTAGAGATTTCTCCCTTCGTGGGCTGGTGTACTGTAGCATCATCTTTTAGGTTATAGAGTTTGCTGTAAAAATCAGCAAAAAGTTCACTGATTTGTTGTGGTTTAATTATTTTCTGTCCGTCGTGGGAAGTGAGGTATGCTATTTTGGTTTGTGCTTGTACGTCTCTGAGCCGGGTGGCCAGGAGTGAGCTGGCTTTGTTACCCAAGCAATATTCTTTGGTTTTCAGTTTTTGAAGCGTTCGGGTTGTGTTCGCTATGTTAATGTCGTTGAGGTCTGATGTGTTTGGGCGATGATTGCAGCATCTTCTGGGTTCGGGTGGAGAAGGTGGGACGCTGTAGCGTCTCTCAGTTTCCTTAATAGGTTTAGGTATTTAGTTTGGGAGGCCCGTTTTAGAAAAGAGGCCCTTCCTATAAACAACCCACGCATTACGGCCTTATGGGCTCTCCATATCACTGCTGGGGACATCCCTGATGTCTCATTCTCAGAGAAGTAGTGTTTGAGTTCTATTTCCATTTCTGAGCTGAATTTGTCGTCGTGCAAAATGGAGCTGTTAAGTCGCCATGGGTTGCAACCTCTAAAGGTGAAGTCGTCCCTGAATGTAGCGAGTATTGGGGCGTGGTCTGACCATATGATGTCACCTATATGGCATGTTTGAAGTAGGTTGAGAGATGGTCCTGATATGAGTATTACATCTATCCTAGAGTGTGTTTTGTGAGGTCTAGAGTAATATGAATACTCTCTGTCCAGGGGGTGGAGTAATCTCCAGCAGTCATAAAGGTTGAATTTCATCAACAGTTGTGTTATGGCTTTGCAGGTTGGTTTAAGGGATTTCTGTCGGTTGGTGGAGGAGGGCATAGAGGTGTCTAGGGTTGGGTCCAGGACATGATTTATATCTCCGCATATGATAGTGTTGCCTCGCTGTGCAGCTGCCACTTTTAGGATGGTACTAGTCAAAAAGTTTTTCTGATTTTCGTTAGGTGTGTAAAGGTTTACTACCGTATGTTGTACGTCATTCAACAGGCAGACAACAATCAGGTACCTGCCCTGGTCGTCTGAGATGGAGTGTAGTAGTTCAAAGGCTACTGAATTGTGTATGT